CGGCTCCTGCCGGAGGCCGCCTCCTCCTCTTCCTCCTCCTCCACGGCCTCCTCGTGAGCAGAAAGAAGAGCAGCGGCCTCCTCCTCCACTGCCTAAAGAAGCGGCCTCCTCCTGCACCGCCTCCTCGTGCGTACAAAGAAGACTAGAAGCGGCCTCCTCCTCCACTGCCTCCTCGTGAGCTCCACTGCCTAAAGAAGCGGCCTCCTCCTGCTTTGCCTCCTCGCGCGCACAGAGAAGACTAGGAGCGGCCTCCTCCTCCACCTGCCTCCTCGTGGGTTCACGAGAAGAGAGGCGGCAGGGGGGCCGACGGCGGCTGGACGCGAGGCCAGCGCCCCCGTTTTTTTTTCCCCTCGGTGGTCTCTCGTTGTTTTTTTTGCGTCTTTGTTTCCTCTCTCTTTGTTGTTTTGTGTCTTTGTTTTTTTTTGCGTTTTTTTGCGTCTGTGTTTCCTCGGTTTCCTCTCTTTTTTGCGTCATTGTTTTTTATGTTTGCGTTGTTTGCGTCTTTGTTTTTCGTGTGTCTTTGTTTGCGTCTTTGTTTCCTCTCTCTTTGTTTTGTTGCGTCTTTGTTTCCTCTCTCTCTCTCTATATATATATATATCTATCAATCCCTCTCTCGCCATCCCGTGTGTTGGTTTTCGGTTCGGATGAGGCGCTGCTCCCGCGCCTGCGCGTCTCGTCCTCCTGCTCCTCTCCTCCTCCTTCCCCCTGCCTCTTGCCTCCCACCTGTGCGCTTCCTACCACCCGTGCCACGCAGGCTAGACCTCGCAGCTCCCCTTGGGGACTGCCAGCTGCGCAATTGTCGCCACTTTCGTGGGCTCCTAGGAAGCCCATCGAAGTGTTGGGGGACGCGCACTTCCAGTCGATACCTCGCGGCTCCCTTGGGGGCGGCCAGCTGCAAGAGATATCGCCACTTTTGTGGGCTCCTGGGAGGCCCAGCGGAGGAGTAGGACACGCACATCCAGTCGAGACCTCGCGACTCCCCTTTGGGGCTGTCATTTGCGACCATGTCGCCCGCTTTCGTGCGCTTCTGGGAGGCCCAGCGTTCAAGAGTGCTGCTGGTCTCTCAATGAGTAAGTTTGCATGTAACTTTCCTAGTGGTAGCCGCCTCACATCGGATTGTTCGGGTGTCCATTGTCATGGCATCCACAAGTCTGTGGGGGACTTGGAACCAGAGGGTGTACTGCAGCACCGCTGATGCATCTGGGGTTTACTCTAGCCCTCCTCGTCCCGTGGCGACGCTCGCCCTCTTGCTTTTGATCTTCGTCCTCGTCTTCCTGCATTTCCCGCGCCCATGGCATCCACAATCACACCTTGTGAATACCACTCTTTCTCTCCAGACTCCGTGCGGAAAATATGCGGCCCTCTCGACGTCCTGTCTTTATACATGATTTTAGCACCTGTTTATTCAAATGGTTTGTTATCATCCGATTGCGTTCGGTGCTTCACTATGCTGCTCCCGCTGCAGCGTGGGCCTCATTTTCGGATCAGCGCTTCGCTTCCGTCATTCAGAATGGCGCTCTCGCCAGAGCGTGGCCCACTTTTCTGGATCCGCGTCCTTGTTCATCGTCGTCGCCTCCTTGGTTCCCCTTCTTGACCTTCCCCTGGCCCTCCTGTTTCCCTCGCTCCTTCCACTCCAGTTCCTGCTGCTGCTGTTCGTCCTCGTTGTCCTCCTTCGACATCCTCGTTCTTTTCTTTCTGCGCATCCTTCTGCTCACCCGCCACCTTCTCCTCTTCCTCCTATGCGCGCAGCTCCCTCTTCCTGATTGCGCATAACATGATGGGGTCTTTGAAGTGGAAGTTCCAGGTCGGCTATGGCACACGTCCGCGGATAGAGACAGCAACAGTGCATCAGGAATGGATGGGAGGACGGAGTAGGATGTCAGATGAGGCGCGAGCGCATCCAGATTGTCCTGCCCTCCCTCCCTCCTCGACCTCGACCTCTCCTTCCTCGACCTCTCCTTCCTCGACCTCGCCTTTCTCGACATTTCCTTCCTCGTTCCCCTTCCTTGACATCTCCCTTCGTTGACCTTCCCCTTCCTGGACCTTCCCCTTCCTCGACCTTCCCCTTCCTCGAAACCCTTTCTTCCCCGTCCTCGGCCCTTCCCCGCCCTCGACCCTCCCCCCCCTCGCCCTTCCCCCCTTCCCCGACCCTTCACCCCCCTTCCCGGACCCTTCCCCCCCTTCCCCGACCCTCCCCCTCCCTCGACCCGTGCCCCCCCTTCCTCGACCCGTGGCCCTCTCTTGCACCCCCTCGACCCCCTCCCCGCGCGCCGCCTGCCCTCGCCTTCTCTGCTCGGCAGCGCCGCCGCGCCGGCCCCGGCCGCGCCTCTCGCCGACCTGCGGGCGGCCCCGCCGCCCCGCCCGGGATAGCGCAGAGGGGGACGCCTCGACCGAGGAGGTCGGACTGGAGGGTTTCTCCCAAGGGCGTAGGCGACCCGTCCTCCCTCCTCCTCCTCCTCCTCCTCTTCCTCCTCCTCCTCCTCCACCTCCTCCTCCTCCTCCTCCTCGGGTCGCCTAAGGCCTGGGGGAAACCGTGCAGGTCGGACCGGCCCCTGGCTGGCCTGGCAGGGCCCTCTTCGGTCCGGTTCGACATCGATTCCAGACGGCCTGCCCTGAGATCCTGGCGGCTCAGTTCATTCGAGCTGGGCTTTTTTGGGCCCGGTTTCGGGCCACGGAGCGCTCACAGATCGATCCGTCTCGAAAAATGTCGCAGACATGGGGTCTAGGGCTCGGGTCGTGATGTTTCACGATGTTTCAATTTCTTCGAGACGTTGGATCTCAGGGTGGCCTGGTTCGCCCGCTGCTTGTACGCCGCTGTTGTGCACCATGGCGCAGCAGATCCGATTCGATTTCGACTCCGCGCCGATGCCTAGCGGTTCGACGTCGATTCCAGACGGCTCAGTCCGTTTCGCCCGATGCTTGTTCGCCGCTGTTGTGCACCATGGCGCAGCAGATCCGATGCGATTTCGACTCCGTGCCGCTGCCTCCCAATGTGAGGCTTTTTTCGACGTGATCTGGCTTCCCGATCCGATGCTGACTGATCCTGGCCTGGGCGAGGAGGGAGCAGGAGGAGGAGGAGGAGGAGGAGGAGGAGGAGGAGGAGGAGGAAGGATGAGGGAAGACAATGGGTAGGAGGAGGAGGAGGAGGAGGAGGAGGAGGGGAGAGGAGGAGGGAGGGGAGGAGAGGAGGGGGAGGAGGAGGAGGAGGAGGAGGAGAGGAGGAGGAGGGAGGAGGAGGAGGAGGAGGAGGAGGAGGAGGGAGGAGTGGGGAGGGAGGGAGGGAGGGAGGGAGGGAGGGAGGGAGGGGGGAGGAGGGAAGGAGGGGGGAGGAGAGGGGGAGGAGGGGAGGAGGGGAGGCGGAGGGGAGGAGGAGGGCTAATCTTCCAGTCCTTAGGGGGCCCACGCTTAGGAAACATACAAGCCAAGCAAATCTCGAACCCCTTGTTGACACAGGGGAGAGCTGTATACGGCAGGTTCGGGCCGCGTCGACGCGGCGGCGACGCCAGCGCGAGCGGTCAGGATTGAACGCCGCCGCTGGCCCGGAGTCGTCCGATGTCGAACGATTTGCGGTATCGTGAAGCGTTTTGGGTTGAGCGATCCACGCGGCGTCAGACACCAGCGCGCAGGTCGTCAAGGCGCGAACCCGTTGCATATTGGCCGCGCGTCTCTACAGCGCTCGACCCCTGCGCGGGCCAGGTGAGCAGGCATCCGCGTCTCCAGCATCGTGGCCCTCGTCCCAGGGCCCCATGTGTGACTCACCGATGGAGGTGAGGCGTCAGCTGAGGTCACCCCCATGGGGCGAGGCGGAGGAGGAGGAGGAGGAGGAGGAGGAGGAGGAAGGAGGAGGAGGAGGAGGAGGTGATCGCGCTTCGCGCGCATCGCGGCTTGGGGTTGGGGAGGTGCCGTTCTTCTCCAGGGCGGCGGTTCGCGAGGGCGCGAAGCTGACTGCGCGCATCGCGGGGCGCGGTGTGCGCGGGCGCCAGGTCAGCATTCGGGGCCCACTTCGAGTCCTCCGATTCGATTCGATTCGATTCGATTTCGATGGCTCCCGATCGCAATTCGATTCGATTTGGGATTCCGACTTGCGTTCCGAGTGCTGATTGGACGCGCACACCAGCCCGCCGATTTCTGCCGATCCGAATTTTCCCGACTCGGCTGCCGATTCTCGCCGATTCGATTCATTCCGATCGCCGACCCGACTTATCGATTCGATTCTGGGCTCTCCTGGCATTTGTGTGCTTCAGGGTTTCCGTAGCCGGTCGCATGCTGGCCTGACTCGGTGGAGCGCTTCGACCTGCTGGTCTGGGCCAGGCTGGGGTCTGGTTTCATGTAGTTTCATGTTGTTTTATGTTGTATTTGTTTTGGAAGGGGTACTGGACTCATGTATGTGGTCAATCCGAGCCCCTTAAGGTTTGTGCGATCCTGCTTTTGCCCGTTGGCCTTCTGTTTGTGGCGCCGGGGCCTCTGACGCCCTGCTCTTCTCTTCGAGACTGGGCCCTCCACCCCCCCAGGGCTTCTCGCAGCGGGCCGGTTCGTTGATGGTCCCGGGGCCCAGCGAGGGCGCTCCGATGCCGAGGTCACCAGTGTTGCGGAGGCTTTGGGGGGATGAGCAATGACGTAGACATGAGAACTTTGGAGGTCCGCGCGGATTTCTCGGAGCCCCCTGGCGGCGCCTCCGGCGCCGCCCCTGGCGCGCTCCGCGCGCCAGGGAGAGGGCTCTCCAGCGCCGATCCGAGAAAGCCGCGCGGACCTCCGAGTTTTCATGTCTGTGTCATTGCTTGTTGCCCTAAACTTGCAATGCACGTGTCTCGTCGTGTTCTCCTTGCGGGCAATACTTCTGTCTATATCCACTGCAGTATGGAGTTTCGGGCTCCCTTCCCAAGAAACCCGAGGCGCACTGGGTATGGATAATTTTGCCCCCCAGAGGCTCGATGTTTATCCATATCCAGTGCGCCTCGGCCTTGCGACATCCCTTCACAAAAAGTCCAAGACGCTCTGGATATGGATATAAATATCGCCCGCACTCCTGTCCGTGGATCGCACGGTCGGGACACGGCCACTCCCGAGGGAGGCAGCGGCGGCCTCTCTCGGCTCGCATCTCTCGGCCGTTGCCGTCGAGGGCGTGCCTCGGCCTCCGCTCGGGCGTGCGCACTCCTTGCTCTCGGCGAGGGCCCTCGCGGAGCAGCCTGGAGCACCTGGCAGAGCAGGCGCGCCACGGAGCCGACCGACGCACGGGGCACGGGCGTCCGCGCGACGGCAGGACGCGCAGCGCAGCTGACTTTTGGCGGGGCGCCGGGGGGCCCCAAGGTCCCCTCCCTCGGAGCCTCGAAGCCGACCTCGGCCGGGGCGCGCCCCGACCAGCCTCGTCGGGGCGAGCTCCGCCTCGGTGGCCTCGGTGGCCCCGCCACGGATCCGTTTCCCGACGCGTGGACGTCCTGCGCCCGCGGCTCCAGACCGCCCACGTGGGGCGCTCCAGGAAAGGGCCTCACCTTCGAGGGTCGAAGGCGTTGCCATCTCTTCCGTGGCGGAAGGGCGGCGGAAGTAATACGAGGCCGCCTCCGCCGGCGGAAGGCCGGCGGAAGGCCGGCGGATGGCGGCGGAAGTAAAAGATGTGCCCCCCAAGAGCTGACAACGTTTTTGGGTTCAGGGTTTCCGAAGTCGCCCAGAGGGGGCCAGAGCAGATGGGGTCGGAGGACCGCGCCGCATCGCCGATGCGTCGGCGATTCGGCGTGGTCCGCAGTCCGATGGCTTTCCACCCCGGCAGTGCCGACGCATCGCCGATGCGCAGGCGAGGCGATCGGATCCTGCGGCCCTCCTCCTCCTTCGTACCCGAACTCCTTCTCGTCCTCCTCCTCCTCCTTCTCCTCCTCATTCTCCTCCTCCTCCTCCTCCTTCTCCTCCCCCCCCAGGGTACCCGAACTCTCCCCCTCCTCCCCCTCCTCCTCTTCCTCTCCTCCTCCTCCTCCTCCCATTCCTCCTCCTCCTCCTCCTCCTCCTCCTCCTCCCATTACTCCTCCTCCAATCCTTCTCCTCCTCCTCCTCCTTCTCCTCCTCCTCCTCCTCCTTGACTCTGTCACATGGTCATACTCATACTCATACTCCTCCTCCTCCTCCTCCTCCTTCTGCTGCGGCGCGACGTGGGCGTCCTGCGCTCGGGGGGCGGGACCGCCACCATGGGCCTCAGGCCGCGGCGTAGTTGGCGCTGCAGGTCTCGCCTCGCGCTGCGATGGGCCTCTCTGGCTCGAAGTTCGTCGACCCCGACGGGACGCAGAAGGATTCGAGCAGTGGCGAAGCGTCCTGGCCTTCCTCGAAGAAGAAAACACGCCATAAACATACAGTTGTGGCGCTCCCTGTCGATATCTTGGATCCGCACTGGGCTCCCCCGGCGGCGCCTCCAGCGCCGCCCCTGGCGCGCTCCGCGCGCCAGGGAGGGGGTTCCAGCGCAGGTCCAAGAAATCTGCGCGGAGCGCCAACAGTTTATGCTTATGCCGTTGTATTTTCTTCTATTTATAGTAGGCCCAGCCAAAACATGTTATAATTACCTTGTGTGGTCTGCAAGAGAACATCGCTGGCTGGGACTGCCTTGGTTTAACTCACGGGGTCTACGTTCTGAGCACATTGCTTTTATTTTTGGAACCTCGTTGGGTTCTACGAGCATGTCGTGGTAGGCCTGTAGGAATGCCTGGACGGTCGGTCCCTGCTCAAAGGATGGGACGCGCCTCTGCGAGATGAAGGCCTGTCGCCGTCCACTTCGCTGCCAGGGGGGAGGGAGGAGGAGGGATGGGGACGTTATTCAGGAGGTTGTGTCCCGTATTTCCACACAACTCAAGGGAGGAAAAACCACCCAGACCTGATAATTGGCGTTTACTAAACGGCCTTGGGCGTTTACTAAACAGCCCTGCCCCGTTTGATTCCTATGGGTGCGCTTACTGCACGGCTTCGCGTGCAGGGATGATTCTTATGGGGGTGGGTTTTCTGCCCTCTACAAACATTGCTTGCACCATGTGTTTTTTTTGTTGTCGGTGGACGGCCATTGGCACGGCTTCCTTGGGGGGTGCCCCCGATGCAGTCACGCGGGGTCGTTTGGGGATCGCTCCTCCTCCCCCTCCCTCCTCCCTGCTCCTCCTCTCATCAAAAACAACAATATTATCATCATCATCATCCTCATCCTCATCATCATCATCATCATCATCATCATCATCATCATCATCATCATCATCATCATCATCATGATCATCATCATCATCATCACCACCATGATCATCATCATCAGCATCATCATCATCAGCATCATCAACAACATCACCATGATCATCATCACCACCATCATCATCAGCATCATCATCATCCTCATCATCATCACCACCATCATCATCATCACCATCACCATCACCATCACCATCACCATCACCATTACCATCACCATCACCATCATCATCATCATCATCATCATCATCATCATCATCATCATCATCATCATCATCATCATCATCATCATTATCATCATCATCAGCATCATCATCATCATCATCAGCATCATCATCATCATCATCACTATCAGCATCATCAGCATCATTGTTCTTGCTCCTGCCCTTTGCTCCCCGCCCGCGGGCGCCTCGTGGGTGCCTGGTGCCGTGGGCATACGTTTTGCGACGCCTCTTTCCCGGCGTCCACAGCGTGGTCGCCTCGTGGGCGCTCCGCGCGCGCTGGCTGGGCGCACTGAGCATTTTTTTTGGAGGGAGCGCTCCTCCTCCTCCTCCTCCTCCTCCTCCTCCTCTTCCCCGTCCCCCCCCCCTTCTCCTCCCCCTCCCCCTCCCCCTCCTCTTTCTCCTCCCCCTCCTCCCCCTCCCTCCCCCTCCTCTACCTCCTCCCCTCCGCCTCTCCCCCTCCCCTCCTCCCCTCCACCACCTCCTCCCTCCTCATCCTCCCACTCCTCCTCCCCACCTCCTCCTCCTCCTCCACCTCCTCCTCCACATCCTCCTCCTCCTCCTCCTCCTCCACCAGCAGCTCATGCCGACAAGCCTGGTTGGCTCCAGCACCTAATGTTTACGAGGGGCAGTTGTTCCAGCAGCCCATGGGGGACTCCAGCCATCACCCAATTTTGGCGAGGGAAGGTTGTTCGAGCAGATGATGCCGACAAGAAGGGCGGGTTGCCGCCTGAACGGGAAGCCAGAGCGACCCGTGGCCCAGCCACGAGCTCACTTACAGTCCGTCAAACATTTCACGTGCTAAATATTCACCGAACTGTAGTAGACAGTAACATGGAGACGGGATTGGTGAGACAAGAGACAATTACACCAGAGAGAAGCCCCAATCAGTGGATGGTTTTCGCTGAAGAGATCGACCGGGAACCCGGGAGCCCGGGCACCCACCCAGAACCCACCGAAATCGGCCCGGAACCGGGAACCCGGGAACCCGGACCCGGGAACCCGGGAATCCAGCCTGCTACCAACATCGGCGGGAAACTTTCGCCAAATCTTTCAACTTCCGCTAGGACCCCTTCAGTGCAAGCACTGATTGGGGAACAAGTGAAACACAAATGACCCAAGGCAGCAGTCCACCAGAGGAGGGGGAAGGGGGGAAGGCTTCCTAGAAGCACCCCTGCTTCGAAGGTGCCGGCCTTCTCTGTAGACGTGGGGCCGGCGCCTTTATGGAGCGGCCTCCCCCTGAGAAGCCTTCCCCCCTCCCCCCCCACACCCCCTCCTGCGCGCCTCCGAAGTACAGAAGGTTCACCACATGCGTGACGCGCACAGCGTCGCCGGCCTGACGCCGGACAACTTCGTCCCCGTCAGCATCGTGCCCAGGGCCTCGCACTCCGCGTGCTGCTGCGGCTGCTGCTCCTGCTGCTGGACCTCGATCCCCTCGGGCTTCAGCGCCATCGTGTCCGCGTGGGGCAGGGACGTCGATGGCGCCGAGGAGCAGAGGAGGAACATGGCCTGTGCCGGTCCCGATGCCCACTCCTCGTCGTCACAGCCGGGTTCGCCCCAGAGTCCCAGTCGCAGCGCACACCGGAAGAGGCCCGGGGAGAGCAGGGGTGTGGGCAGTGCCTGGCTCCCCGGGGAGGACGACGGAACCTGGGACCCCGGCTTTCACTGGATGTGCCCGTGGCACCGGGTGAGCAGGCTGGTGTCCAGGCAGCTCGTCATCTTCGACACCCCGGTCAAGGCCGTCAAGACGCAGGACAACGTCCCGGTGCAGCTGGACGTCTTGATTGTGTTCGAGATCGTGAAGGCGACAGACTTCATCTACAACATCGGGCCAGAAAAGTTCGACGACCTGCTGCGCTCTTCGCAGGAGGAGGTCCCCGAAGCTTGTACCGCACTCCGCCGGGCCCTCCCTGCGCGTCTGTCCGCCTTCTCATGCTGGGCCGCGTGTTCGACGTCGGGTTTACTTTGGGAGATAGTCTTGCACCCGAGCTCGCTAGGTCT